TAGGTTGTAGCTATATCTGGCAAGTTTAGTGTAAACATTTGTGGTTGCTAATGAAAGCTACTGATGTAGAAGTATTCATGTAATTTTACTACGCGTTTGTGAACAAGGGTGTAAACTCGCTCTGCCCATTTTGTTAGATCTTAAGCATCAGAGGAAGAAAACAAAAGTCTTTTTGTTGAAGTATGGAGACCAAATCTGACCAATTAACATTGTACTTCTACGTACAGTTTAGATAATTACAATCTTAAACTGGTCGATTTGAATAGACTTCCTTGTCATTTTTGCTGAAAAGGGAATGATTTGTTTATTCTTTCACAGCACAGTAAAAATTCGTACCTTTATTCCAAAATTCACAATCGGCAATGGTCCTTAAACTTGCCGAGACTGACCGACATAGCAGTTATTGATACATGTATCCTGCGTTCTAACTTTTTGTCATATCTAACTCCTAACAGGTAAATGCAGTTGTTTGAAAATTAATATGTATTTATCAATGGCCGACCCTGATCTATGCAATGTACGTGACTTTCAATACAGAGTCATGTATTAACACAGCTATTATATTATTTGGATGACCTGTAACCTAGGAACATGCCTCCCGCTATGTTTTATCAAAAATGACAGGAGAGAAAGAGAGAGAGAGAGAGAGGGGTGGAGGGAGAGGAGGGAGAGGGAGGGAGGGAGGGAAGGAGGGAGGGAGGGAGGGAGGGAGGGAAGGAGGGAGAGAGGGAGGGAGAGGGAGAGAGGGAGAGGGAGGGTGGGAGAGGGGGAAAGAGAGCGCGGGAATCGAGAGAGGGAGGGAGAAATAGGGAGAGCGAAAGACAGGGAGAGAGGGAGAGAGAGGGAGAGAGGGAGGGAAAGAGAGAGAGAGAGAGAGAGAGAGAGAAAGAGGTAGGAAAGGAGGGAGGGAGAGAGGAAGGAAGAGAGAAAGAGGACCTCCCCCCTCAAACAAAAACTACAAACATGAAATCATCCGTGACAACGAATGGCTTACGTTACAGTGAGCACGTAGTATTATAGGGTCATCAAGGTTCAAGTTTATCAGTGAGGGCCTACACCTTCCACATCTCACCTGTACTTTCTTTTCGGTTTAAACTTTACTCTCAGATCACGGGGCGTCGCAGGAAAATTTTGAATGGGGGGGGGGGAGTGGTTTTTCGTACCGAATTTGGCGAAAAGTGTGCTGACAGTTTTCCCACAATTAGGCTAAAGAGAAAGGAAATCTCTGATCAAGTTTGTTTTATTTTTAAGTACTCTGTTATGAAATTTTGTGAACGGTAAAAAGAAAACGTTAACATATGAACAGATAAATGAATAAAATAAAAAGACCCCACCCCAAGAAAATAATGAAAATAAGATCGATCAAAAATCTTCACTCGCCATATAGGGAAACCACCGATTAAATAGCTAGTACACATTTTTTTGTAATGTTTGAGGGATGGAGAAGCAACAGTTTTTTCGTCAGCTATAATATCCCCGTCAGTATAACGCAATCAATCTTTGTTTAAAGCTAATCTTGAGCTCTGGTATATGTGAATCGTATTTTGAGAGAAAATTACTAAACTTATACTGGATTGGTTATCCTGCAGAAGATTGATTGTACAGTGAAATAAAAACAATTGCACATAAACTTACTGGGCATCATCTTCGATTAAACTTGAAACACGACTCCAATTATGGTTTCGGGCCTATAATACCCGGATTTCCTTATCTTTCTATCCTCATTACTCAGCCACTATACATTTTCTACTAACATTATTTTGCACATTTTAGTTGTAATCTTGAAAATTCAGTGTAAGTTTCGTTAGATTCTGGGAGAGGTTATTTTCTATATTTACCAGAACTCTAGTTTATCTTTAAAGAATGGATGAATATCAAGTTTGATGTCCACATTTTTAAGAATCGCAAGACAAATGTAAGTCTCACAATACCAATGTGGCATCGGAAGTGTTGATACGATTACTCAACCTTTGACAAAGGTATCAAGTACCGGATCAAGAACCGTTTAGTATTTCTTCGATTGTCAATCTGTATCATCGAGGTCACCACACTCAGTAAACACTCTTATATATCTTATGTTTTCACTGTGTCGTGTTTCAGCCTGTATGATCGATCGTAGATAATCAGCGCCTTTTTTTTATCACACTTTTTTTTTTTTGGGGGGGGGGGGAGAAAATCTGGCTCGTGCCCCTTTAAACCCAAACTTGTATTCCTTAACTAAAATTTAAAAAATTGTTCCGCTTATTGTGTTTATACCCCTTTTACAAATTATAGATCCGATAGGTACCTGCAAATATGATTAGACCTTCTTTGTTGCTTGTTAGAGTTTTTGCTTAAATTAGTAAAGATGTGATGAACTTCTGTGTTTTGTGCTGTATTTTAAATTGTGCCCTGTTTCCTATATCCTGGATCCGCCCTTTTTATCGCCTTACAATTTACAGTGTTTGATAATAAGTGGGTCTTAGTACCACGATAGGGTTTGATGAATACAAGTTTAATTCACTCTGGGATAACATACTAATAATCAGTACAAGGTGTTTAAGAAAGCATTTCAGGTTTCAATTTTCACATAACACATGCATTCATTATCTGCTTTTTAAGAGAATCGAAAGTACAGGAGATATGAATGTGTAGTTTATTGGATTTACATGTATATACAAATAAATGTCAATGTTTTACTATGAATATTATTATGTTATTTCATATTCAGTCATAAAATTTATTTAAAAAATGCTAGTAGCCTGGTATGTACACTCCATGCAAGTGAAATAAGGCCAGATTACTTTTTGTGGTTTGCCAAAAGTTTCGGAAAACTGCATGGGAATTCACTCTGAACTTAGTCTGGGTCAGGACTTGCAGACTATCCACAAATAGTGGCAAATTGTCTTTTGAGTTCCAATAGTTTATGAATTCTAGTTCAGAAGTACGTTTTTGAATTGCTTATCGACAGTATCGCGTGACATAATAACAAAACGGTCATCAATTCCCAGTCCATCCGTACCTGTTTCCTTTCAATGTTTGTTTTTGAAGTCACGGTGGAGATGTGGGAGTCAGGGCAAGTGCCCCTCTATGATATCAGTTGTATATCATCAAGCATGGGAACTGAAAAGAGCACAAAGATATTATAGATTTTTAACGTATTTTAATAACTTTCTCTCATTTGAAAGATTAAAGTGTTTTTTTTTTTTGTTATTGTTGTTTTTATATTTCTGTGCTAGTTCACACAATCACTTTCGCTTCGCAGAATATTGATCGTGCAGAATGTAATTGCAGTCAGGTCATCGTTTTGTGATATAATGATGATTATCTATAGAAATAAAATTGTTAATGGATATTTTTTTCTGATTGGCGCCACAAGCGCCCCATACCTCTGATCCATACAAAAGTATTTGGTTTTCTCAAAGAGTCAATAATCGTGTTGCTATTTTTATATTTGATAGGGAGTTGATTCCCGAATAATTAGGTATAATTTAACAAAACTCTCTTTGGTTTATCTGCTAGATTAACCCTCGTGTCCTTGAAAGGCCTGTACAATAATTATTAAAGACAAGACCTAAATAATTATGTTGCCTGTTTAACTATTTCAATGTTTTTTCCATTCACCTTGAAATTTTGTTCTTTCAACATCTTTCCGTTCTTGTTACAAATAATTTTCGTTTTGTCTATAACATTCAACATGCAGCCACATCAAGTCTCTCTCGGGGTCTTTGCATTCAACTTCTTGACTTTGATACCAATACAATTTCATCTGCATACAGCGCTATATAGACGCGGAATATATTATATTATTATATTACACAGTTCACTAACTTTCCATTCAATTCCATGGGATGAGTATCAATAGTTCCCAACTCATGCGGCAGGTCATTTAGATATAGGTTAAACAGTGTGGGATTTATAGTACAGTCTTGTGTTATTGTTTACTACTTCCATAGACTTGCTAAAAGCCTTGCATGTGTTGCCTTGACTCGCTGTGATACCAGCTCATTTTGCATGCGCATTCTAACATAAAACTCACCTACGGAAACCTACTTTTTAGTAATGGTTAAATCTGAAATAGCTCTTTTACTTGTTTGGTATGGGAGAAAAGGAGTCATACGGCACATTTCCTAAGGTAGGGTAACCCATGGACCCTACTACGAATGGATAACCTATACGTGCACATAAAAGAGCCGCGGCGGTTGGTTATTTTTTGGCCTGTACGCCGCGCATCAAAGCTGTGGAGCTAACGAATAATCATAACATCTATTTGAGAAGATTATGAGAAAGAAAGGAAGAGAGGGGCAAAGAATGAGTGACAGAGAGGCATATTATGTAGGTGGAGCTGACTGAGTTTTCCCCATAATGTATGGGTAATGTAAAATGTTAGTTTGGTCTATTGTCTTAAAAGTTTTATAGCTCGTGTGCGTCCTTAAAACTTATATTGATAATAAAAAATATAACGTATAAGGCGCCATCTAATAACTCAGACCACTCCCTGTTATTTTGTTGCAAGACTTTAAATAAACTAAATGCATTTTATATGGCTACCCGAAACAAATGATGGGTAATTTCAAATACGTGCAATATTTAGTATTTCTGCTCCAACATTAAGGAAATCCTTTACCCTTGCTATTAGACATTGAAGAAGTTCCCGGATGAAAACAAGTGATTTTCAACCATTTGTTATTGCCATGATCACCTTCAATTCAACGTATCAGAAGGTTTTCAGTTCTGACTAAGTTTCTGCACTGGCACTTGGCAGGGGCGTCGATCCAGGTAGGGGAGGGGGGGGGGGGCAATTGCCCCAATCATTTTTGCTTCAATAATTTCGAAATTGTGCATCCTATAGTACGTTTAATTACAAGTTTTGCATTGGTCACATCAAAGTGAAGTTGGATCAGTGCCTCGAGTAGACGTGCACTATGTATATCGTCTTTCTTCTTGAAATGTTTGTTGTTGTTGAAAATCCGTCTGCACCCTCCGTGACCCGGCCGTCTTTCTTGTTCCCTTTGTTACAGGCGAACGAAGAGGGTGGGAAGATCGAAAGCAACGGACATGATGAGGCTGATGTCGGCTACCAGAAACATCGAGAAAGCCAAAGCGATCTTCCACCCGACGGCCATCGGGTGAACGATGCACAGGCTCAGGCCGACGCCATCTTGAATCGTTTGAAGACTGTGGTGACTTATGGCATTGAGGATAATCCGCCATGGCACACCACCATAATCTTGGCATTTCAGGTAAAGGTGGCATATATATTTTTGTCGACTTAAGATAATTCCTTGGAGACGGCTTCTAAAAAAAACCCACACATTCTCCAATCTCAGATGCCAATTGGATGGGTATGAACGCGCAAGTCCAAGTAATTTTGTCCCATGTATAATGTTACCGACCAGATCTAAGATTTCATATGTATCAAGATGACAGCCGTTCTGGAGCTGGAATCGTATAAGACATACATTGGATTTGCCCAAAATTGAGATCGATTAATACAAGGGTATCGTAATACACATTTTGTACTCGAGGATATGATTTTTTGTTTACAATTCAGAAGATAAAGTTCATATCTTAACCTCGAAATTAAACAATCTTCAAGGAAGTTTAGTAATTCAAGGATTATTGGCCAAAGTTTCCTGTCTGATCGTACATTGACCTAAAAGGCCCATGGGTTGTCTGACCATCCCTAGGTGGAAATCTGTAGATGGATTCATTTAAGTCCTGAAGTAGTAGGCATTATTATGCCATGGTCAACGGGAACTGGGTTTCTCCTATATTAAAGCCTATGGGAATGAAATAATTTAGCAGTCAATAGGTTAATCAATTTTGTCATCAATGTTGCAGTGGGATTGATCAAGAGACTAGAATATGCACGGTCAAGACTGTTCGACATAATCTTGAAAGACCAGTCCAAGCAAGCACATTAATTGAAGTTGTCAACATACTTTTCCCTTCTAGCATTTCCTTACGATGTTCAGTGGAGTACTAGCCATCCCTCTAATCCTGTCCAGTTCATTGTGTCTGAGTGAAGCTCCTGGAACCTTAGCAGAACTCATAGGCACCATCTTCTTTGTGTCAGGACTTGTCACCTTGCTGCAATCGACCTTCGGTATCAGGTAAATCAAGGAAATTTGTTTCTGTAATATAAATTGTGCACATTCTTAAGGGCGCGGGGGGGGGGGGTTCCAGATCATTAACAGTCCAAAAGACCATGACATTCATTTCAAAAGATCTCAAGGAGCATAGTCGCAAGGACCTTCTTAAGAAAAGTGGAAGATTTCTGAGGTCGGAGATTCAAATTACCAAAGTGCCTGGTCATATGGACCTTCTGACAATAACTCTGAAGGTTCATGAGGCCAAAGGTTCATAAGACATGCTATTGACAGACTGGATCTCTCTACTGGACCTTCCGTCTTCATAGCCTTTGGCGTCTCGAAGGCACCTTCGGTAAAACCATTATTTTTGACTGTACGAATTACATCATGACAACCGGAATGAGTAAAAAGTCCTCTTTTGTAACGTTATGATTACTCTGAGAAGTATCTGTGTAAAAGTGCATTTTTAATGTAAAGTTTTGTGGGTAAAGTCTAAAATCTTGCGACATATTTTGTCAGTTCCGTCATTGTAGTTATCAAGTAAACATAATGCAGATTACAGAGGATACCTATCCATTACCAGGAGCCTTAATGGCAGTTGTAATATAGCTTCAAAATATTATTGTCTCTAGGCTTGCATGAAAAAAAAAAGAATGTTATTTCCCATTCGCATGAAGGTTACCCATCATACAAGGAGGTACATTCGCTTTCCTCCTTCCAACCTTTGCTATACTTGAACTCAGAGGCGACTGTCCCACCAAAGCTGGTAAAGTACTTCCGGATCATGATGTACTGTTTACTTTCATCTTGCACCACAGTAGAAGGAATTGGTCAGTTCCAACCAATATAACGAGGTGATGTTCTTTTGGGTCCCAGGATCTTGGTGGTTACTTTGGTCAAAATACGGTCCTACTAAATTGGGTAGTTGTCCTTAGATTAATTTCGCTCGGTAGTTAACTTCCTCATCAAAATCCTGGTGATGATTACTAATTAAGTACATTACATTGATCCTGGCTCGACCGAATGACATTGACCAGTGACGTTGGTTGTGATTGGCAATTTCCTTGTACTGTGTAGATAACATCAACTGTGTTTCTTGCGTCCTAGCCATGACTGTCTACCTTGCACTATCTGCCACATTAACTTGTCCAATTTATTCTAAATAAATGCATTTCTTCTTCGATTTTCTAACACATTCAGGTGCTAAAACAAATACTTCGTAAACAGATGAGCAAAATTGCGAACTTTTTTTTTTTTGGGGGGGGCGGATTCGAAAATTCCCCGTTTGGAATGAATTTACCTTTCTACCGCACGACCGGCAGAGGGGATGTAAGGAAGGAGTCATGTCAAGTTCTCACGTGTTTATTCTTTTCCATTTCCCACCCCTTCCTCCTGTCCTCACACCCCCTCTCTGTCACCTCCTGCCCATGTCACCTTCTCTCTATCACTCTCCCTCTTTCTCCACTTACCTCAGCCTCTCCCATTCTCTCTCTCTCCCTTCTCTCTTTCTTCAACAATTCCTTTCTTTCTTCTTTTTTCTCATCTTCTCTTTCTCGTCTCTTTCTCTTCTACAACCCTTTTGCTATTTAATTATGGGGGAGTTCCCTGACGCTTGTAATTATAGTCATTTAGCCATAATAATTCAGTCAATATAATCATTATAATTATTGCTCAATGCCCTATTCTCCATTTACCATTCCGATTTTATATTGCTTGTCTCTTTTCCTGTATCCTCGTCATTGACATCACTATCATCATAATCATCATCATCGTCCTCGTCGTATTGATGACGTCATAACCATGATCACGTGATGGGTGTGGCAGGTTGCCGATCGTGCAGGGTGGCACGTTCACCTTTCTCCTACCAACCTTTGCTATATTGGGTATCAGGGGCGATTGTCCGACCAAAGCTGGTAAGGATATAAACACGAGGATACAACTTCAGGAGATCATTACATAATCTATAATATGACGAATGATAGTCATGACACATGCAGTCTCTGCACCTTTCAAATATTTTTGACTGTTTTTCAAGATTTTAGTCAGCATGCACATACCTGTTCTTTTTTTAAACTATATAGAGTACGTTCTCTAAATATGTTAACTCAATAATATGATAAAAATAGCTTAAATTGGTTTCTCATTTCGTGAGCCCTTTATAAACATGTCCTATATATTTGATCAAAATATTGGTGCTTTCTATCTGCCATTAATAATTGCTTTCCATTCATTTGTTCTTTCGTTTTAGTTTCTATGAATACAAAAAAAACAATGTAAGAGATAATTATGATACTTGTGATTCGTTGTTCTGCTTATGAAACTTAGGCAACGGTGCTCAATGGCAATTACTTAAAAATAGATCAAACATGAATACCGGTAGCCACGTAATATATCATAGAACCGGTAAAAACCAGTTACTAGCTCATCGTATTTCCCGAAAGAAATACAAATCAACACACATCTCAGAATTGTACATCACGCTGGACAGTCTGGGTACATTTGTCTTACTGTTCTTCAGGGTATCCGCCCCCTCTTGAAAACATTCTGGATACGCCACTGTTTTTCTTCAAAATTATCATAGAAAATTCTATTCTCTGTTTTAGTCTTTTCACTTGTCCTATATCTCAATCTCCATTTGTGGAAATATATATATATATATATATTATATATTATATTCATACATCTCTTCATCATGTTTCATACAGCAGTTGCTTTTCATAGCCGAATTGGCCAATCATGTTGAGTCTATATATTTTTCGTTATGTTTGTCGACAGAAGTTATTTTGTTAAACATGCTGCTGGACGAGATATATTTGCCGCTGTTTAAAAATGTGCAATACAAGTGTTTTATTTCCGAAAAGTCACTCTGACTGTTATCAATTTGGCCTTTAAATTCGATGAGTAGCATTCAAAACGAATGTAAGATATTAGTCGTGTTATGGTTAACTAAAAAAGCCAATAAATTTTCCGATCCAAAGCAAGATACGACATTTCTAAACAACCTAAAAGATATTTTAAAAAGCGGGAGATGAAATTCAAATGAAGCTCATAGTAAATTCTTTGTTACGTTATCAGTTGTATGCTATTTATTTCCAAGTCCTCGTAATACCTCGGTAGACATCGTCTGTCTGAAAACAACCGACGAGTTTATGACCAAAAATTGCAATGGTTTATTTGAAACAATAGTCATTCAAAATATTCGCATTAGTACATTTCATAGACCTTCGAACGCAAGGAAAAATTAAATAAGAAAGAACTTATATATTGATTCTAAAAATGAAAAACAAAATTCTGTTATCAGCCTTGCTTTTACTTTCGTGCATTATCTGCTTTGTCATATGATTAAAGCCCATCTTCTGGTCATCTCTTAATAGAATGACAATTCAAAGCAAATCTGAAAAAAGATATGCTTGAGAGCAGAAAATGTGTATTCATTAAAAACAAAAAAATAATACTCATTTGACTGGGCATGTTGAACACAGAGCAAGACTGTTGTTATTATAAGGTATTTCCAGTTGATGATACTTAGAAGTTTGATTTGGAACAATGTGACTGCTGAATTATATACAAAATAATGTCATAGTAATCTAGTTTTTTTTTTTTTTTTTTTACTTGTCGGTCATTTCTTCTGTCAGTTCTTCCGGAGCTGTCTAGTATTTCCTGTCAGAAGAGTGATCTCTAGTCAGGGGCGGGTCAAGGTTTTTGTTTAAAAAAAGCAGGTGCAAAGGGCACAATTCAAAATGTTCAGGTTGGAAAAAAAGGATCACATCTTTAGGGGATAATTTTCCCACTAAAGTTTTTGACAAGCAAGGCATACAAAAGGGTTGTCCTCCTTTTCGGTGATAATTTAGGCCTAACCCAAATTCTCTCTGATTTGCATTTATTTTTAATGGGTTAGGGGGCTTCTAAAGTGGTATTATTTTTTCAGTGATTTCAGTGGAAACGATTTTGCTACAATTTTCCTTTTGAATTTATGTTTTGTTTTAATTATGTTTTCTTTCATTTTGTGTTACTCCATTTTGATAAACCTTTTTTTTTGTGGAACGTTTATTCCTCTTACCAGCCAATGCTACTGATGAGGAAATACATGCGGAATTCCGTAGCAGGATACAGGAGGTAGGATTAAAAAAGATCCCTTTTAAAGATTTATTTGATTTGATGTGATACGATTTCATTTACACACATTATTATCATGTATTGTAAAGTTCCTTAGTTTCTTATAAAAAGTGTATTGATTAGCAGAAGTGACAATTAAGATTATTGTAACGCCTGACCACCGTAAGGGATACAATGTTATTCTTATATCACTATAACGCTTGTTTTCTTTGTATAAATATGTGCCTTTTCGATTAGTTTGTGAAAAATAGTGCGTGGTTGTCGGGGGCGGGGGCGGATAGTGGGGTATCCAGCATAGTATAGAGTTGGCAGCCCACTCCCCTATTTAAATACCCATCAAAATCAAAATCGCCGTGGGTCTTTTGAACGCAGGCTTACAGTCGGCAGCCCTTGTATACACTCCCCGATTTATCCATGTATGGATACGCCACACGGAGGGATGGGACAGCTTGCAAGTATCCGTTCGTCACCGTCCGTGAAGCTTTCTTCTATGCGTAGGGTATAGGCCTAAACTAGTCAAGGAACATTTAGGAAAACGCACGTATAGCTAGGAGAAGGATGTTGCGTAACAGGATGAGAATATGTAGGTCGGTTTTTATACACCACAAACGGTGGGCTCAGATTCCTGTTTCAAGGTTTCACTTTCTGAATTATCGTCCACATCCTTCCGATCAGATTTGTGCCGACTCAGAATGGGGATGATAATAAATCCTCAAAGTAAAATAATGCCATCGAAATTGTGAAGGACAGGTTTTGTGCTCGACCTAGTAACCCCAATATGTTCAATCAGATTTACCACCAGAGGGCATTGCTAGTCCATTTTAAAGGTAATACAAAGTTTTGGTATGGGGTCATGAATTTGGTTCAAATGAACATAATGGAAGCATATGCGATCCTACAATATTCAGTGATCGTTATCGCGGTTGAAATCGAGTCTAAAGTTAGGAAATTGGAAATAATTAACTCTTTATGTTGTATAGCTCCCTCTCAAGGCCAAGATATTAATTAAGCTATAAAACAATGCTTCTTGACTAAAATCGACCGATTAGCTATTCCCGTCTGGAAATTCGATATCACAATTACATTTTCTGAGATTTTCATGGTCGCAGCAACTATTGTACGGCCGTTAGGCGCTATTTGAAATTTATCAAAATTTACCGGGAGCACCGGTAAATTTTTATATTCAAGTTTTCTCGAAAGCAGAAGCGTTTTAGGGACTAAATTTTCTTGTGCTTATAATTCATCCACAGGAGCATCCAAATATATCAAAATTGAAAAGAATCACTATCCACCCAATTTTCAAAATGTCCCAAAACTTTGTATTACCTTTAAAGGTCCTTGAGAGGGGTGGTATCGGACTTAATTTGCCGACAAGTTCGCCAAAATCTATAAAAAAAAAAAAAAAGCCCCGCTCCCGATAGAGAGACATTATGAAAATTAAAAAAAAAAAAAGTTTTTCATATTTGGACTTCCCCGACGAGAGTTATGAACCTCCCCCAAAAAATGTTTTCACTTGCCGACATACAATCATGACTTTTGTAGATGACAATCTGTCAGATTTTCCAAAAGAATGTAATTGGAGTTTCCCTTATAATGCAGTGGTGAAGGATTTAAGACAAAGTAGATTGCGTACTGGTATGATAGAATTTTCATATTATGTACAAAATTGTTTTAGAGTTTCGAAGGTTCAAGGTAGTCCCGGGTTCTGTCAAACCATTTGAAACTCGTTGCCATGGTAATGATGTACATGCTAGAGTCGTAAGAAATTTAAAGAGTGATCATGAAGCATAGGCGAAGTGAAATTAGAATAAATCAATGGAACTCATATCCTGATCTGTTTCTAAATCAACATCATAGATCCAAGGTGCAGTGATGGTTTCATCGGTGGTCCAAGTGGTGATCGGGTTTTCAGGCATGATGGGCTTCCTACTGCAGTTCATCGGTCCGCTGGCCATCGCACCTACCATCGGTCTCATCGGACTGTCACTCTTCAAAGAAGCCGCCAGACAGGCCTCTGTCCACTGGGGTATCTCCTGGATGTAAGTCAGCTAGGTGGATCCATGATTCAGGATCCAGGGGAAAGCATATAGGAAGACAAATAATTATCACCTTTTTAAAGTCATGATTAGTCGAAAAACCTCTGAAGAAGCAACAAGTGTTTTGCAGATTATTCAGTTGTTCCAGGAAGCACACTTTTCTTCTGAGTACTAGATACATACCATAGATGGGCCATTATGAGTGCAGACAGATTTGTAAATATAGTTTGTTTAATAATAACTTCTGAATATCTCATCTAAAAGCCTATTATATTTAACAATAATATTGTGTAAACATACGCTATTTCACTCTAAACCCTTGTGTACAACACTGAGCTACCATTTCCAAATAATTGCTTTTCTATGACAATTATCATAATGGTGGACAGATCTTGTTAATAATTTCTTCTCCTTTCTTCTTCCCTTTCATCTTCTTCTTCTTCATTGTTAATTACAGGGTGATGATAATCATCATCCTCTTCTCACAGTATTTGGAGCGCTTTCCGATTCCATGTATAGCGTATAACAGAAGCAAAAAGTGTCACGTCACCAAGTTCCCCATCTTCAAGTTATTCCCAGTAAGTTAATGTGATGCAATGATATTGCTTCATTTTTAAATGTGTCTGTGTATGTGAGTGTATGTGGGGGGGGGGGCGCAGGCGCGTACGCAGGGGGGTGGGGTTGGGGTTAACCCCCCCTTGAGTTTTTTTAATGTGTATGTTTTGTGTATGTTTTTGGGGAAACCCCCCCCCCCCCCCTTTTGAGTTTTTGTTTTTGTTTTTTGGCTGACCTATAAAAGGTGACCTTACCCCCCCCCCCAACGGAACAAAATGTCAATTTTTCAAATTTCGAGACCCCCCCAAAAAAAACCTCTTACCCCCCCCCCCCCCCTCCTAAATAAGAATAAATACAAATCTGTAGGTATCGGCAAATATCATGATATTACAATATTACTGTGAGATCCATAAATTATGTTGGGCAATTTACTAATCCCTCTATATTTCATTCCCCCCATTTTTCATCCTATTCAAAGATTGTTTTAGCGATCTTGATAGGTTGGCTATTCTCCTATATCTTCACGGTGACGAACGTGTTCCCGACCGACCCAGAGGCATATGGTTACGGGGCTCGTACCGATCTTGACGAAGGGATCTTAACAGAGGCCCCGTGGTTTGATTTCCCCTATCCAGGTGGGTAATGACCAAAAAGAGCAACGAAAAGATTTCGTTTTTTGGAATTTCATATCATGTAGTGATTTTGCTTTCTTTCTAGATGCCACACAGATAGTCTAAATACCTGTGGAAAATACATAATACAGTCTGCAATATTGTTTAACTTCTAATCTGCAGATATGAAGAACCGTTTTATTCTTGTTGACTATAAGAGAGAATCCTCTATTTTTTCGTGATGGGGGGGGGGGGGGGGGCATGTTTGTGAAAAAAAACCTGAATCGTATTCCTTGTTTTATAAGCTAGTCAAGAGATTATTAACTTTTTCGTGTAAAAATTGTCGCCGTACACAACCTATTTTCTGTGAATATAGTCCGACCTCCACCCATTCCCAAAATCCTATGACGTCATCCTTGGTCTTGATGCACTATTTTTCTTTCTTACACAGGCCAGTGGGGTGTCCCCAGCGTGACTACAGCCGGGACTCTGGGCATGCTTGCTGGCGTACTCGCATCCATGGTAGAGTCCGTGGGCGATTATTACGCCTGTGCCAGACTATCCGGTGCGCCTCCCCCACCAGCGCATGCAATCAATCGTGGTATCGGAATGGAAGGTATCGGATGTATTTTGGCGGGAGCCTGGGGTACAGCGAACGGCACTACGTCGTACAGTGAAAATATTGGTGCTATTGGTATAACCAAGGTTTGTGCCAGATGTACGTTTTTCGCTGATGTTTCTACATCTACCCCTGATAGTTTATCGTAATGATATGGTGATGTTGTAAGGAAAACTTTAAATGATTGAGGTATTTTTCTTTTACCCCATCTATACTTCACACAAATAAAATAATATTCACAATAAAAATCATACAATATATGATATAAGAACATTTCTTCAATATATTAATTTAGGTTTGAACCCACTTGTCATTTTTCGGTTGAACTATTTTGTGTACTAATCTGTAAAGGTAAAGAAAACAAAAACGTTAAATATTTATGGCAGCATAAGAAGTTGGCAAGTTAGCTTCATGGTATTAGAATAACAAAGAAAGAAAGAAAAAAGGGTTTAATCTGATTTCCATCAGTTTCCTTTGCTCCGGGCCTTTTCTTATGACATTGATGTAACCAGTCAGGGTGTTTACAATGTATCACAACCCCCCCCCCCCCCGTTAGTTGAATGCCAAAGCCACTTCGTCTGGATATTCTGAATTTGTCATAAAGCACTTAACGAAACCGAATATTGATACTCTTTATCAAAGATTCTAGAGTATGTCTAGACATTATGACCACACTATAATCAGAATCATACATGACTCCACCTTGATGGATTTCCTTTAGGTGGGAAGCAGACTCGTGATCCAAGTGGCTGCATGCATTCTAATGCTCGTTGGAGTCTTCGGCAAGTTTGGCGCCTTTTTCTCCACTATACCTGATCCTGTAATTGGCGGCGTTCTCTCCACAACGTTTGGTAAATAATGCTTTAAACAAACTTTTATAATTGAAATGGCGATTTTGTTTTCTTCTTCTTTTCTTTTCTTCTTGGTATGAGGTTATAAACATTTCCACTTAAACGATGTGATCCATAATGTGGCTCCTTGAAAGGTATATTTCCTTTCCTGCACATTTAGAGAATGATGTATTATTCTGTTAACAATTGAAATCATATTTTTCTGTGTCTTTATTATTTCTATTTTATATTCCTGTATATTCCAGGTATGGTTTTGGCGGTTGGAATCTCTAACCTTCAGTTTGTGGATCTCAACTCGCCTCGGAACCTCTTCATCGTCGGATTCTCATTCTATGTCGGTATTTCCATTCCTGATTACATCCAAACTAACCCAGAGGCCATCAACACAGGTATAATACTCTGGAGAAGATGCAGTATATAGAAGGGGAGGGGGCCAAGACAGTGTTCAATGCAAAACATGCATTTTTCCTGATATGATTGTGATAGCATGGTTTTCAGAAGTCAAGCTATTCCCCCAACATAATTGACTATAATCCTTCTTTATTTCATATCAAGATAAACGAGGATAAATGGGGGGGGGGGGCATTATACGGGGAAGAGGTCTCGAAGTCGAGTAGTTTGAGCATTTGACTTGAAATTCAAAGGTCGTTGGTACGATCCCCGACATAGCAATAATTTCTTTTGGCAAGGCAATAATCTACATTTGCCACTCTATATTCAAGGAGAAAAAATGGGGACCTGGTAGAATGAAGCCTTTAATTGTGAAAGTATTTATGCCATTCAACTAGGTGACCAGGAATACTCCCCAGGAAGTGGAGATGGTGCAAACTGTGCGTTAATGAATCCTTGACCGGGGTAATAATATTTGTAAAGCGCTTACATATGGTATTTCGTTTTAAACGCTTTATTAGTCTAGATTTATTTATTATTTGTAAGTAAAGAATGAAATAATTTCTTGCCATTTTTTCTGTATCCAATCATTTGCTCATCCATTTGTTCTATATTTTCTCTTTTTATGGATTTGTATTATTTGTAAGGACAGGACAGGGGGTGGTCAAAATGTTCTCCAATCAAGTTTAATTGATTTGTTGTTATGTCTTTCAGGAAACGCGACGTTTGACCAAGTGGTTGTGGTTCTGCTGGAAACTAGTATGTTTGTTGGTGGAGTTGTAGGGTTCTTCCTGGACAATACAGTACCAGGTAGGTAATACTGGACAACAGACAATATAGGATAATGTATGATTAAATCGATCTATGCTTTATTTACCTTTTTTAAAATGTCGGTCTACTCTGGGCAGTATAGGAGAGGGATTCAGTGGTGCCAGACGTAGTTTCAGCAGAGCATAATAATTATCTTCGATAGAATCGGACTGATATTTCGGTACAGCTCTAAAGTATTGTGCTTTTAAAACCTTAGTAATAGTACTTTAGTAGATTAGGGAGACAATGAATAGACCATAATGTCACGGCGTTTAGTTTAGCACGTGGGGTCAATGTTGCACTGAGAAATTAACTTAATCTTCTCCATTTTGTATTAAGATATTTCTAAAATAAAATATGCTTCAATGACAATGGAACGACATCCTCAGCATTCTATTTAGATGTCATAATTATTTTGTCAAACATAATTTTGCATCTTAACTCTGAATAAAACAATCCAATGCTTCAAAGTGCAACACGTATGTATCGTCAACATTTTCTGCATTGACACTTGCTCCGTTTGATAATTTTTTTTTGTCACTGGCGCTATATACATACAGGCACGCGTGAGGAGCGGGGTCTCACTAAATGGAGAGACATGTACGGAATGGCCGACGAAGACGAGGATGCCGACTTAGTCGACGCTTCGGAGGAGGTCATGGAGCTCACCCTGAAGTCGTATGACATGCCCTTCGGGATGAGCTACATCAAGAAGTGGAAGTGGGCAAGATACGTCCCCTTCAGCCCCACTTTCAAAGGGATTAACCTCAACCTCAAGAAGGTCTTCGGCTGCAAGTCCATGTCAAGGAAAACGAAGAAGGAAAATGGTGAGTATTTGATTCTACGACAACAAGACGTGCTCAGCTGTTAGTTTCTTGCAGTTGCAAAACTCATAACTTCAACCCTGGACACAAATCCTAACCTAATTCTATAAGCCCTAACCATAAACCTAACATAAAATCCCGATCGCAACTATAATCCTAAAGCTGTATCTTTGACGAAACGGACCCCGGAGTATGTTATTTCGCATCATGTATATTTCAGATTGAAGCTTCATCTTTGCGGTGTGTCACAAAGTTGGATGACTGTTTTAATGTTTTGTATGAAAATACATCACACTGAGCATGTAGAAGAACTGAATTACGAATTTGTGTTCCTATTAGGAAATATTGGTAAACATTTATGTAACCGGTAGCTCGAGGCTGCATGACGAAATTAATTTAATAGGATAGACAGGAAACAAAAAAAGACTCGAGATTTAGAAGAAAATGTTATTTATAAAGTAAACACCTGACATATCAGCTATACTATGACAGTCTATTTTTATACGTTTTGAAAGCGTAACATTATATGGATTATCATTACTTCGTTTAATTTATCATGAATATCAATTTATGTAGATCAGCATTTACTTATTATTGCTTTTTGTTCTATTTTTCAGATATCCCAATGTCTGATAATGAAGGGAACGTTGCATGAGAGATAAATCTGCTCATCCTCTCCATTCCAAAGTCTTCCATACCCCCGATATGACGACTCAGGGTGCTCAGTCATAATTATCAAAACTGAACTGAATTTAATCCAGTATTTATTCTATTTGAATATCATCTGCAGATAACTAGAAGGGCATTATCTCATTATCATTATTGCATAAAGCCTTTCTAGCTCTCAGCAGCCGATTAAATCCTTCCCTGATTAGATAACCAGTGATGATTGCCATTGAAGATTAACATTTTTTTCATACATGTAGTATTTTCATTTTGAAAGTGGTGGTCTAACTTCAGCTGACATGGTCAGGTGATGTATACAGATGTCACATGAGCCAGGGATGACGCGTGAACAACTCTGATGATCACGTGATACATATTAGAACAAAAACGGAACAAGTTGAGTGCTGCTGATATTGTATTTAGAATGTTTGATGTAAATGAAGTGAGCACGTGTCCAGCTGTTGTATTACACTTTGGAATAATCAAAAGACTTTGTTGGAAGTATCAAGAAAACAAAGATTAGTTGAAGTTTGTTATTTATCATCCTCCTTTTTGTGATTCCTGACTCAACTTATGTAAATAAAATTATATATCTGATATTGGTGTGTTTACTAACAGATGTAGGGCATATAAGTCTTTTCAATAAAATGTATGGTAAGAAACTGTTGAAATATTATGCAGTTAATATATGTAATACACTGTCGTTTTGAAAATAGAAGGGGTTTACAGCTATTTTATAATTTAGATTGATTTCAACATTTTAGTTGAAAGGAAGCATTATTCTTACAGTATCTGATAACACCAAATCTAGTTTTTTCAGCTTATGAAGTTGTTGACATAATGAACAAACCTTTGAATGAAAGAACAAGTTTCATATTGTTTAAATCATACGAATACGGCTGCCTAGTATTCATAACTTTGTTTACTACTTGTAACTTGCAGAATTATGTGCATCATACTGGAATTAATGAAACAACTTAAAATATATATCATATACATAGAATAATGTATACAAGCAAGCCACATCCTCATAGGGCAATAATTGGTGCTTTTAATTTTATGAAAGTAATATGTCATGGTACCAAGGGTTTCTTATTTTTTCAAAGCCTTGAATATTTCAGTACATAAATCCCTGTTTGACATGTCTACCACTTAACCTGCCCAAATTAGTGTTTTGTTATTTTAGTGTATGTAGAATTTATATTTACTTAGAAACGATTAAATATGAAATGAAAACAAGTCACAAATCTGTATAAACCATAACATTTTAAACTGAAAGAAAATGTAAATCAAGTACAATAATACTTCAAAAATGACAAATAAACTAGGAAGGAAATAAAATAAAAATGAGATAAATATGTATTACAACTTACAACTTACAAAAATAGATATTTCTGTACTAGATCTTTGTACTTGTGCTTTGATTATACTTAATTAATGTTTATATATATTTGAGGTGTATACTTTCATAAATATTTGTTACAAAATTTATTGAAGGTTTATTGTCTTCATTTTTTCACCACATAAAAGAAACAAGAGAGATAGGACCTGTGTGCACATAAAGAGACAAAGCGGGAGAGAGAGAAGCAGAAACAGAGAGAAAAGCAAAGCAAGGTAAAATAGGAGAAGGATGAGAAAATAAGAACCATCTCCCAGCAGCCTTGTTAATTTGCATTTAATATGACAGGTATCTCTCCCTCACCCTCTCCCCTCCCTCCCCCTCCCCTTCCCTTCCCATCTATGAGGCCAGTGTCCCCTGAATGGCTGGACCAACCATTCATCACTCGCTGTATGTATGATTGATTACCTAAAGGAGAAATTATGAAAACACAAGTGAGCCAGCATATATTCCTCTCTTTGACAATTTAATTTATTATGAGACGAGGCAAATCTCGTCTTTTTCATCTTGGTCAACAAGCAGAATAATAAAGTCCTTTGACGCTAAATAATAAAGTCCTTTGACACACAACTACAATCCACAAGTATTATGATAATTACATTCTATTATATCTCTACTATGGCATATAGGCACAATATCTACACGAGTAGAAGTATACATGTACTGGACAAATTCGGTCATGCTTTATTTGGCTAACATAAAAAACAAAAAAAATGATAGCCAAGGGGCTTTCACAACAGCTTTCACATTTCACACACAGAAAGTTGTGAAAAGATGATGAAGAGAAAACAAAGTTATCCCCAGTTTTATTAATTTATTTTTTCGGGAACACAAATCAAATGAAATTGAGGCACATCAAAAATAGCACAATGATTGTAAGACACATGCTCCACAGACAATTTACCAGTACAAAATACTAACCAGATTTCTTTTTTCAATCATAGACCCAACACTATTACGATCCCTAAGCCTAACCCCGTAACTCTACAACCTAATCTAAAAACCTAATTGCAATCCTAATCCTACATCTTTGATGTAATAAAATCCAGAGCAAAAAGTCACTGGAGCATGTGTCTGATCATCAATACACATTAAAGTTCAATGAAAGTTTTCAGATTCCATTTTGATTATCTGGTATATCTACACATTGTGTTTTCAGCCTACACTTTGGTAATTGCTTTGGAATCTGTAAGACTTATATCAAAGATAATCAGTAACTATTGGCAAAATCTATATGCTTGGAATGTTTAGGGAATACATTCTATATAGACTCAATCATGGTACAGATTATATTTCATTCTTAATTAAAAATATACATAAAGAAACAAACATCACACAGATACTTGTATAGTAGTACTATATTGGGAGGATCAACAACAATGTTCAACCACTTCCATCTTTAAATCTGTGTATTCCGATAACTGGATTGCTAAATAGTTGGGTGTATTATGTTCATAGACACAGTAATTGTTACACACATTGACTATAGCAGACTGTTGCACTTTCTAAACATTAAATAGAGAGGGGGAAAGTTATAGAACTCTAAATATGTTTGCTAGTGGTTAGGTGTATTTCCTTTTATAAAAACATGTATACTCACCACATCTAAATGTCATATTGTCATCTTATTACATACTTTCTTCAAGCTTTTGAAAACTTGATCCATCTTAAATAATGTAATAATCAATTCCTTTGATAGGGCAGCACACAAATAATAATAAATAATAATTCTTTTTAAGGATGCTCAATGTTAATATATTTAAATGCTGAGGTGAAATAAATAATAATGGAGGAAGTACCTCATTATTTGTTTTTAAATGGTTGCATTTCATCTTTACATTTTCATACATAATGGCAAGGTTTACTCTATTAAAAAAAATGTGAAAGATCATCTGCTGTTTAATAATCAATTTTGTTTAAATATACATTTCCTTTATTTTGTATACCCATGGATATCATTTTCAATACTTTATGTTCACAAACAAAATGTATTGAGACATAGAGGACTTTTGGGGTAAGAATGCATTTAAAAAAAAAAATTGTTAATACAAAGGGGATTGAATACACATTGTATGAATGTTAATTGCTTTCCAGGAAACAGAAAAACAATAATAAATACCACACTGACAGTATAGTAAGCTTTCAGCAAATCCTACCTTTTGAATACAATCATAAACTATTCTAGACAGAATATACATGTCTTGGAAATTCAAGCATTCCTGATTCTACAGTTCCTTTTATTTAGTACTGAGTAAATATGAGAACATCACAACAGATTTAAGTAAATAGAATACATATGAAATATTACTTAGAAGGATATAAGCATGTGAACATAGAACACTGTGAAGATAAGGATATAATAATTTTTTCTGGTTTTCAGAGCAAATTTTTGAATACAGACTGGAAAAAAGGTCATCACATTGAATACTTTAGGTTATGTTTAAGCTAGATAGACAAAGAAAACAAATCATAGAAATATATGTAACTGTGAAGAATCTATCAAGCCAGAATCTGAAGCAAGCACATACCTACAAGCATGCACTAATTGATGTTTTACAGGAGAGATTGAGAAAATATACAGACTGCAACTCCTAACAAAACATTTTTTTTTGTAATGAGTGACCTTTGTCTGAAAACATAAATAAATTGAATTTGCATTGAATTGATTAGCTTATCCTAACCAAGCAAAACATAAATCATTAAATGAATGAAAAGTTAATTTATTCATGAAAGTGAGATATCACCATGACACCTGGAAAAAATATGACTTCTCCGCATCAGTAAAATAGGTGCTTGCGGATACATTCAATGTTTTCTCTCTTCCAGAAAGAGCAGAATACATGGTATCTGCTCTTTATATACTCAGCCTGATTTTGAGACTGGGATCTGGGCTGAAAATTTCTTGAGTGATGAATTTACATTAAAAAACATTTTTGTACTTTGATATGCTGTTCCTACTTTTTCTTGGCTTGATCATAATAATATAGTGCATGTTTTGGTGGCTTTTAGGCAAAGAACCAACTACATGTTTTGTATGTTTGACTATGCATTTGGTGTTCTTTATTTCACATCGCCTCTATAAAAACTTTCCTTACCCTAATTAATTGTTTATTAAATTATGACTATGAAAATGATCATGAGAATGCTGCAATAATATAAAGAGACTTTTCTAGGTTTCATGGTAAAGTTAATTCAAATCAATGGTGAACCTCACAACAGTACTAAATTCTGTACACATGTGGACGGATAACAAACAAACACACAACTCTCCACAACCATTTACCTTCTGCTTTCATATCTTATATCTAACATCTTATTTACAATTCATAGAATTCATCATCCATGTATAAATTACAGATTTAGAGTAATATATTATATATGATAATCAATAAAAACTCAATAACTATAATAGAGGTAATATGTAATGGTGGTTTTAAATGATCGCAGACTCACAAGACAGGGGACAAAGAAAATTCCTATAACCTATCACAGTAGGAAAATAGGTAGAGACCTATACTAACATCTATACTTACAGCCTTACATGTTGAACAGAAAATACCTTTCAAATCATTGGTCCATACTTGCAGCTAACATGAAGAATATGGTATAAAGTAGCATCATGGGTTGACCGAAAGATCTAGTACAAATTTCGCCATGAGGCATTACTTTTCTTCCTTATATGGACATCATCTCACCTAAACACAGGCTTTCGTTTATCAAAACATCTTGGTATCAAACACCCATAACTGGTTAGCACATATCGACCATCACTCTCACCTTTCTTTTACCAACAAAACACACACTGATGAAGAAATGAATTCATAGAATATTCACTTCCTTCCTCTCCTCTCACAATGCTTGGAAATGCTTCCTGGCTGGCGTGACGTGAGACAATTTTCATCCAAACACAGTCTCTTCACAGAATTTGAGCTGCCATATTTTTCCTCCGTAGATTTCAAACTTCTCTCTCCCCAACAACTGCAATAACTGGGCCTGAAAAGAAATAATACAGAGAATATTATCTGTGTTACACCATTGAGCTCAATTCAAGTGTATTTGGACTTAACGCTGAAAAATATATTTCCATTTCAAATGAGACTATATAGGATTGCAATCTAACTCTATATACGATGAACATGTATATTCACAGAATTCAAATCTGTAATCTTGGTCAAATAGCACCATTTTGTGTCAGCTAAGAGCCACTTCAAATTTTCTACATAAAGCTTGAACAAAGCTGGTTACTAGTACATAGAAATCGGGCCACGTCACATACGTGTTCAAGAATCAAGCAAACAGGGCTTATTTTTGTTGGCATCTTTACCATGACTCCTGAAACACTATATTAATGAACTAGTAGAAGATAAGGGACAAACTTATGCAACATTTTGGGCCTTTGCATAAAAATTTGAATTTAAACCCAACTCTAAAATATCAAATGCAACTTGATTTTCAACCAATCAGGATTGAGTATTTGGAACTTCTGTAAAAACAAAAATGATCTGCATTTAATTGGAATTTTATTCACGCAAAAGGGTCCATGACGCTCTGGTGACCAGACTGAGATCAATAAATTCCTGTATATAAGAAAGAAACTAGATGGAACTTCGACTGCGCGCAGTCGAAAGTGATGCCTCCGTCATAGAGCAATTTTACAAACCAAAACGGAAGAAATATTTCAAATTTAAGTTCGGTTGTAATCCATAATAGGTTCTCAGAATATCGTGATTATACAAGCTATTTCTCATATACATGTATGACCCTTTGATCTTTGAACTCATGACCTCAAATGCAAAATACATATATATGCATGTCTTGAGTTTGATGGTAATCCATCCATCGGTTCTAATGATAATGCAACCCAGGACCAAAATCCAGTTGAAACCAATTGGAGCAAAACCAATTGCCAACCAGTTGCCAACTGGTTTCAATAGGGAAATTGGAACAACTGGTTCCAATTGAAACCAGTTGCCAACCGGTTCCAATTGAAACCAGTTGAAACCAATTGCCAAGTGGTTCCAATTGAAACCAGTTGAAACCAATTGCCAATTGGTTCCAGTTGCCTAATTGGTTTCAACTGGAACCAGTTGTTCCAATTTCCCTATTGAAACCAGTTGGCTTCAACTGGTTTCAACTGGTTTCAATTGGTTTCAATTGGATCCGATTGAAACTTACAGTTGGCAAAAACTTAATTAGTTACAAGTTAATTAGCTCTTGCACTAATTATCGCTCATGTCAACACAGAAACATTGTTATATGTGTCTACATTAAGTACAATGTAAAGGGCATCATAATATGCAGACCATATAATATACTTAACAAGTGTGTGTGTATTGGGTTTTTACAGACGTGTATCAATCAGATATGATTATTTACGTCTGGGACCGACCTTTAAACGTCACCATCCGAAAGACGTGACTCAGTTTCGAACCTGCGTCCTCGGCTGAATCAGTTTGTAACTTCCACTTTGTAGCTGGATTACAGGCGCACGCCACAACGCCGAGTTAACAAGGAAGGCATTGCCATTATATATGTTTGTATTTGATGTATTTTGTACATGGTTAGTGTTTTACTAATCAACTTTTAATCTGTGTAATTACAAAAATATGTTACTAATGAACATGCTTATCATTGCTAATTAATCTTTATATTTATCTAAAACAAATGCATTACTTGCAAATGAAAATTAATTAATAAGTACATTGTAAATCAAAATAAATTACATAAAACATTGATCTGCTCACAAGCATATAATATGCAAATTAACTGGTTTCAATTGGATCCAGTTAGGTAACTGGAAATATTTCCAATTGGAACCAATTGGGTAACTGGAAATGAATTCTAACTAGAACCAGTTGGGTAACTGGAAATAACTTCTAACTGGAAATGAATGCTAACTGGAACCAATTGGGTAACTGGAAATGAATTCTAACTGGAAATGACTTCTAACTGGAAATGAATGCTAACTGGAACCAGTTGGGTAACTGGAAATGAATTCTAATTGGAAATGACTTCTAACTGGAAATGAATGCTAACTGGAACCAGTTGGGTAACTGGAAATGACTTCTAACTGGAACCAGTTGGGTAACTGGAAATGACTTCTAACTGGAAATGAATGCTAACTGGAACCAGTTGGGTAACTGGAAATGAATTCTAACTGGAACCAGTTGGGTAACTGGAAATGAATTCTAACTGGAACCAGTTGGGTAACTGGAAATGACTTCTAACTGGAAATGAATGCTAACTGGAACCAGTTGGGTAACTGGAAATGACTTTTAACTGGAACCAATTGGGTAATTGGAAATGAATTCTAACTGGAACCAGTTGGGTAACTGGAAATGACTTCTAACTGGAAATGAATGCTAACTGGAAATGAATTCTAACTAGAACCAATTGAGTAACAGGAAAATCATCTTACTGTTTCCAGTTGAACTTCTAACTGGAACCAGTTGGGTAACTGGAAATGACTTCTAACTGGAACCAATTGAGTAATTGGAAAAATTACCTTACTGGTTCCAGTTGCACTTCTTATTGGTTTGAACTGGAAATGAGTACCCATAACAATATTTTCCAGTTCGGCAATTGGTTTCAACTGGAAATTTTCAATTCCAATTGAAACCAATTGAAACCAATTGAAACCAGTTGAAACCAATTGAAACCAGTTGGAGATTTCAACTGGTTTCAATTGGATTTTGGTCCTGGGAATCACAAGCTATTTTTGCATACATAATGAGCCCCATAACCTTTGACCTTGACCCCAAAATCTAATCAATTCATTGGCTCTGCAAGATACATACATAACCTAAGTTTGGCAGGAATCCATCTATCGGTTGTTGAGATAACGCGATCACAAGCTATTTTTGCATACATATTGAGCCCTGTGACCTTTGACCTCGTGACCCCAAAATTTAATCAGTTCATTGGCTCTGCAAGTTACAAACATGACCAAAGTTTGGTAGGAATCCATCAGTCAGTTCTTGAGATAACGTGATCACAAGCTTTTTTTGCATACATAATGAGCCCTGTGACCTTTGACCTCGTGACCCCAAAATCTAATCAGTTCATAGGCTCGGCAAGTTACATACATGACCAAAGTTTGGTAGGAATCCATCAGTCGGTTCTTGAGATAACGCGATCACAAGCTAATTTTGCATACATAATGAGCCCTGTGACCTTTGACCTTTGACCTCCTGACCCCAAAATCTAATCAGTTCATTGGCTCTGCAAGTTACATACATGACCAAAGTTTGGTAGGAATCCATCAGTCGGTTCTTGAGATAACGTGATCACGAGAACGGGACGTACGTACGTACGGTACAGACAGACGTACGGACGGACGGACAACCCGAAAACATAATGCCTCCGGCTACTTCGTAACGGAGGCATAAAAAGCTGCATTCTCGTTACATACACACTCACTGTAAGAAACCTTATCTACATCAAAAAGTGTAAAAGACCCATAAGTCCAATATCTACACTGTAAGTCACATCATCATCCCCATCAACAACTGTGAATGGTATCATTCATATCCTTGTGCACAACTGCAAGGAAGCTATCACAGGAGGAGGAGGAGACAAGGAAACTGAACAGATCCATTCTGCACTCTGCAGCCAGCATACTGAGTTGAAGAGACCTGGCATGTATCATCAATGAAATGTGGGAAGAAAGAACTAGAGGAAAAATGGACTCTGCAAACAAACTCAACAGAACAACAGAAAAGCAACAGTTGTACACCCCCTGAAGAAATAGCCTTCCAGAATTGGAAGCAGATTACATGTACAATAAAGTGTTGAAATAGAAATAAGATCACACCGCATTCAATAGAAGACATTTACACATCAAAGCAGAATACTAAATGTTATTCATCAAGAAATTCTTGAATTTAAATTCCTGCATCACAAACAAAACACAAATACCTAAAAAAGGGACAAAAACTCCAATTGACAATTCAAAGAATCTGTTATCATCATACATATACCCCATTAGAACAGCAGAGAATCATGTGCTATACTTTAAAGAGGGAATATAAGTGAGAAAACTAGATGGAATTCGACTGCGCGCAGTCGAAAATGATGCCTCCGTCATAGAGCAATTTTACAAACCAAAACAGAAGAAATTTTTCAAATTCAAGTTCAATTGTAATCCATTAACAGGTTCTCAGAATATCGTGATTACAAACAATTTCTCATATACATATATGACCCTTTGAACTTTGACCTCATGATCCTAATATCTACTCAGCTCATTGGCTCTGCAAGATATCCAGAGTTAAATAGTAATCCATCTGTCAGTTCTAATGAGAATGCGTTCACAAGCTATTTTTGCATACATAATGAGCCCATGACCTTGGACCTTATGAACCAAGAATCTACACAGTTCATTGGCTCTGCAAGATACATAAATGATCTAAGTTTGGCAGGAATCCATCAATCTGTTCTAATGATAACGCGATCACAAGCTGTTTTTGCATACATAATGGGCGCTGTGACCTTTGACCTTTGACCTCGTTACCCAAAATCTAATAAGTTCATCGGCTCTGCAAGTAACATACATGACCTAAGTTTGGCAGGAATCCATCAATCGGTTCTTGAGATAACGCGATCACAAGCTGTTTTTGCATACATAATGAGCCCTGTGACCTTTGACCTTTGACCTCGTGACCCCAAAATCTAATCAGTTCATTGGCTCTGCAAGATACATACATGACCAAAGTTTGGCAGGAATCCATCTATCGGTTCTTCAGATAACGCGATCACGAGCCGTTTTGCATACATAATGAGCCCTGTGACCTTTGACCTTTGACCTCGTGACCCCAAAATCTAATCAGTTCATCGACTCTACAAGATACATACATGACCAAAGTTTGGCAGGAATCCATCAATCGGTTCTTCAGATAACGCGATCACGAGCTGTTTTTGCATACATAATGAGCCCTGTGACCTTTGACCTTTGACCTCGTGACCCCAAAATCTAATCAGTTCATCGACTTTGC